TCAATTCACCATTTCATTCATTCTATCAATTCCATATCTTTACTTTCATTTCACCAATAATTGTAAATATGGTTTTATTCTCAATGTTTTGTAATGGAAGTTTTCTGCTTTTGTTTATTAGATTTTATTCAAAAACTTATAATAATAATAATAATAATAATAATCGTAACAATAAATAATAATAAATAAGATATTATAGGGAGATTGATAATAGCAGATTGATGAATGATATTGGTTGAGTTATTAATAATTGCTTTGGTTTGTTATAATTATGTAGCTAAATATATACATGTTTATATTATTCAGTAGTGATTATAATAATGATTTTGATTTTTTTTCCCCTATTATTTAAAACGATGAAATAAAAACTCAATCTAATATATTATAAAGCAAATGAAGCATATTAATATTATTTATACCAATAAAGAAAATAAGGATACAATAACACTAAATATTATTTTCCAATTCCTGGATTAATCAAGTCGAATTTTAAATCTCTCAATATTCAAGTTATGATTGATTATTTATTTTCGATAGATAGTCTAATTGTTCATTATCATTTTAAAGATAATTCATAATGTATTCTTCAACAGGATTTGTTGTTTGTGTGTTTGTGTTGTTGAGTGGCGCAGCAGTAATACCAGTCATTGTCATATGATCAGATTCTTGTTCACCATCATCCAATTTATCATAATTAAGTAAATTTTGTAAAGGATCATAAAATTTTATCATCATCATCAACTGTATTTGCAAGCCCAAGTTCATCAAATAAATCATCGTTATCATCAATTGCTGATTTTCCAAGCAACAATTGATCTGACTGTTGCAATGTTGGTGATAATTGTTGTTCTTGCGATTTTTTTTTTGCAGTAATTGCAGTCATTGTTGTTCTTTGATTGTGTTGATATGATTAATGATATCTTGTATAGAACTTGGAATATTGTTTTCATATCACCATTGTTGCCATTATTAATTGATTTCGAGCTTGGTTATACAAGTCATCATGTTCTAAATCAACTAGTCGAAGATGATGTGGTGGTAATTGGTTTAATGTTAATGGTGGTGATGATGTTGGTAATTGATATGGTGGTGGTGATTGGTGATGATGGGACTTGCTGTTATTAATATTTATATTATTAATGTATGCTAACCTTAATATTAGAAACAGTTATTGCCATATATATATATATATATATATAGTATTTATGAATTTTATTGGCTAAATGACCTAATGACCATGGTCATTGCTTATGATCTGAAGTCATTCAAATCATGTCATCGGTATCATAAAATCTATGACCATAGGATATGTCATTAAGAAAATACGAAATGGCCTGTTCATTGCTCATCACTACCATCAATGGGGCACGGAAAATAGAAACCGGCCTAATACTAATAGCAAAATCTCGATTTTAGGCTGATAATACATTTATATGCAATTCTTCACAAGAGTTAATTCAGCTTAGAAACTTATACCTACTTTGCTTGGTAATTAGTGATGTGCCGCGCAGTGCGTTATGCATAAAAAAAAATTTATATGTGCTTATTATTATGTGCGCATTTATAATATCCCTTCTATATGATATATACACACTATGACACTACGCGTACTATGCGCGAAAAAAATCAGGGTTACTATGAATGGCACATCTCTCTATTCGAGATATTTAAAGAAAAATGCACTGATTAAAAATACGTATGATTTTATCGCACAAATGTCTGATTGTGGAACGTTTGTATTGTTGATAATGCAAAATGAATAATGAATGCCAATACAATGAAATTTGATGCAGTTTTTTGATTATTATCATATCTTTGAAATTATTCATCAGAAACTCTCTAGTGACTTTACAAATGGTTTTAAATTTTTATTTAGTATCAGTGTTATTGGATGGATCATTAGAAAGCAATGTATAATAATTATCATATTATGCTTCAATTTCAGCCAAGAATATGTTCTTTAATAAATGTTCTAATGGTATAGTTGGTATGATTTCGAAAAATTATTATTCTTGGCAAAATCTGTGGTCAATTTGAGTAACTATTAATTAATTAATTAAAAATTTGAAAAAGACCAAGAGTTACAATTACAACTATTTATTACCTTCCATCAGTAGGGAGATGATGATGCTTCAGAAAAACACTTCTCAGAACATTTTGTTATTAGGGAAGATGATCATCCATTTTTTGCCACAGGTGCTTGTAGGTACAGTGTGTTGCGGAAAAAAACAGCGATGACGAAAAATAGCATATTTCAACAATTACAAAGATAACCATATTTATTTTAAAAACCCATCGAATAATTTGTTAATTAAAAAAGTTTGACATGAATTATTATTTCCAATTTTTTGTAAAGTTGGTTCACATCTTTTTTTTTTTTTTAAAATTTTTTAACTTCTACCCAAAAAGTATTGAATAAACAAAAATGCACTTGATTCTAAATTAAAAATAATTTTTATTGTAATTGGATGACGGAACAGAATTGTTTCTCCGTGTTTCCACTTCCAAATTTGGAAACCACTTTAAAAATTTCCAAAAGAAAAAAAAAATGAAACAAGAATAACTGCACCTCAAACAACAACAACAACAACAACAATAACGACAACGACAACAACAACAAAGTGCTCATCTATTTCAAAAAGTAGCTTATACTAATAATGACAACGGAAAAGTATTTATCCGGCTCAAAGGACAGCTTTTTCTAACAATAATGACAAACAACAACAACAACAGCAAAGTATTTACCCAGTTCAAAGAATAGCTTCTTCTACTAATATGTACGAATAATAACAACAAAGTACTTATCCAACTCAAAGGGCAACTTCTACTAATTTCGAAATATTCCAATACATCTTCTTCAAAAATTTTCATCTAATTTATCTAAACCAGTCACTTCTTAAAATAGATTTAGAGACAAAGCTTCTTCAATTCTTTCACATCTTTAAAAAACGCGTAAATTTTCTGCCCAAAGTTTGATCCTGATTTTCATTACCCAGTAAGTATTGTTTGTACAGGAAACAGGAGCAGTTTAAACACTCCTAATATGTTTCAAAATTTTTATTATATACTTTTTTAGTTAGAACGCAAGCGCCATTTTTTTCGTTCTGTATATTAAAACCAGGGATACAAATATTATTGCGGGTCTGTACGTACGTGCACGCAAGTGACAAAGAGAAATTTGTGTCACAAAATAATAATGCCGCCTCCTGTAGAAAATTTTTAGGTGTTTGGATATGAAATTCTAATTGGGCTAATTCGATGAATATTAATATGAATTGCAGGCAAATGCATTCCGTACGTTTCCGTATTTTTGATTTTTAAGTAATGGTAATCATATTATAATATAGGTATAGTAAACGGTTTAGATTATCGTTGTCCTTCTTAGTTGTTCAGGTTTTATCTGGCTCTTTATTCTCGTTTAAATATTCTAGTTGTTGTTGTTTTTCATTCATTCAAATAAAGATGGAATCCAATTCAATTTTTATATGCTTATAACACTTATGGTTTATGACTCCCTAGCTTCGATTAAACTAAAAATTGACTGAACCTTATCATTTTGAAAATTACAAAATAAATAAATAAATAAATAAAAACTAAAAATCAGTTTGAATCTTTTTTCGGTTGATCCTTTGTTTTTTATTAAAACGCAATTTCCTATTGTTTTATTTTTGGTATATCTGCCAACATTATTTCTTTTTTTTCCGCATTACTTGACAAAAATAGATTCTGAGAAATGTATTTCCAAACTTTGATTTCACAAAGAATCTGGCCTAACTTAAATATCTTATTTGCATATATATATATATATGTATGTATGTGTCATTCTCGGTCATTATTAGCTGTTTCAGGTATCGTTTTTTTTTTTATGGATGGTGTATTATTCACTATTGGACCAATTCAAATATATATGAGATATACCAAAAAAAAAATGAATTAAATCAAAAATCAAAATTTTATTTTTATATCTTTTACTAAATTTGGTGTAATTTGTTTGAAAGTGGGTCATCCCATATGCCAAAATTGGTAGCTTGTAATAACCTTCACTGTTTTTAAAATTAGAATAATTTGTACTACTTGAACTTTGAAAGAAAAACTTGTTTATACAAGAAGTGACTGCTTTGGCTTGGATTGCCTTCATAATTATTTATTTTTCTCCTCCAATATGACATTCATAATTGTTGTTTATGGTTTGTTTCTAAACCTGATCGCCACTCGAAGAGGACCAATCACCAACACTCTAAATTTAGACCATAACTAAATTAAATTTGCTTAGCTTTTTTTTTCATTCTACAAAATATATGTTTTACTGGAAAATTTTTAATTTGCCTCCTAAATATTATTATTAAATTTAAAAAAATAAAATTGTAGATTGGAATTGGAATTAGGATGAACCATTTATTTATAGTTCATACATAATTTCCTTAATAGATTCTTGATAAGCAGCAATGCACAGCCATTGATTGACATATGACCAGTAATTTTTCATAATCTTTTCATTGTGCGAGGGGGTGTTGTTATACATCTCACCGAATGTAACGATCTAAATACCTTTATTTATTATTGTTCAAGACCAACGAAGAAGAAAAGATTCCTCGAGGTCTTTTAGATATACGATTGATAATATCTATAACAGGAGATAGTTTTTTGTTGTCGGGTGGAATGTCAATAACCCGATCGGAATTATTTATATCTTGAAGCCACCAACATTTTCACGAAGACACTCTATTAAAAGTTGCTAATTCTGCCTTTACAGATTACCAGCATCTCCACCACACAAGAAACATAACCAGAAATAAGTTTCTGTGAGCGCAAGATAAATCAGAATATTGCAGCAAAAGCCATTGTCGAGTACATACGGCGATCATATTAGTTATTTTAATATCTTTCTGAACTTTGAACCAGAATATTGTGTTATGAATAGTATTTTTAACCTCAGGATAATCAACTAATTGTAAGTACGTGTGTGTTATTACCTGAATGCCGATAAAAATAGAATATAGAAACACATGAAATATATATCATAGAATCCCAATATTTTCCTATAGATCGCAAAAAATTAATAGAAGATTCTTTTATTTGGTTAAAAAAAAAAACAGGGTTATATATATATATATATATATATATGCAATATGAAGAAAAAAAGAGTTTGCTCGAACAACAGATTGTGGAACATTAACTACCTTAATAATAAAATCCAATATAATAAAGAACCTTCTGCGGTTGAGATCGCAAAAATTTTATCAAAAACATACGTTGATTTTGGAAATCGGCACTTTTGAAGTATCAAGAATTTTATAGTGAATATAAATATAATTTATAAATTTATATTACACTCTCGCCCTCGTGCTATTGCTTTTTAATGTGTCACTTCTATTTGAAGTGATTCTGTTTAAAGTTCGCATAATCCGAACACATTATATTAGACAATGTATAATATAAAACTTTGTACTCGAATAATTAATTATAATAAATATACCCATCAAATAATAAAAAAAATATGATTGATGTTCTAATCGATAGACATAATGACATGGTATGTTGTAGTAGTGGTGGTAGGAGCAAGCATAGAAAAAGAGCAAATAAAAAGAAACTAAATTTTTAAAATATAGTTGCAAAATACGTAGATTTATTAAACTTGGAACATTAAAAGGCTTTTTTGGAAATCGGCATTATTTACGTTAAATTTAGATCAAAGTTTATATTCAAAGTTAATCGAGAATAATTAATTATCCTTGATATCATATATAAAAAATAGATAAAATTACATAAGTCAGATATTAATGCTAAATTAAACCCTTTAACTTTTTTATTCACCCCGGTTTTTATTTATACCCAGAACCAGAAATGTTTAATTAATATTGCTAAAATTAGTGTGTGTTATTTTATTTATCTTATATCATAATAATAACCATTTTAATTCCAATTGTTGTTTATATAAACATTATTAGTGTGACTAAACAATATAAAACTTCATACTGTTACAGATGCACATATCTATTTTAGATTACACGAATGATCGTCTTTGGTTTATTTTTACCAAAAACTTTCCTATTTACTTACTACTTTACCTATTGATATTATTATAAAAAACGAAAAACGCCATTAAAAATTTTTAAGAAGTGAAGTTATATGTTATAATGAATGGATGAATGGGTGCTGGAAAGGTGCGAGATGAATGGTGGAAAAAATAAAAAGTTGTTGTTTCAAAAATGTAGTGTTACTCCAACTACCATAATTATTAATCGCATCTAATAATAATCAATAATAATATATTTTGATTGATCTATTCCTCTTTGAAATAATTAATTAAAAAATAATTGTTTACTTGGTTGCATTAGGCAAAATTGTTTTTTTTTTATTTATAAATGCAACGAACAATTTTAAATCTCGTTCTTTTTATAAAAGGTAAATTAAAAATATATATATATATATATAATAAAAATAGTTTCTATTCGTCACAAAATTTATTTATTATTAAATTTTTTAAGGTATTACACGTGTGTGCATTATTAGATGTAGTTCTTTTTTTATATTTTCAATATTTTTTTTTGATTTTTTGAATTGGGTTTTTTTATTCATTATTCATGTAATGTTTTTATAATAGTTTTTTTATACTATTGTAATATGTACACTCAATTTTTCCTTATTTAAAACCTTAATTTTTTTAATAAATATTTATTTTAAATAATAGGGAGAACAAGATCTTGGCTTTCTCTATTCAATTTTGAAAATTTTTGGAGCTTGTCATCATCATCATCATAATAATAATAATACGATAACTATATTAGAGTGAAGCTTTAAATTATTTATTTTCCAATTTATGAAATCTTTTTAGAAAAAAAAAATTTTTTGTAGCACTAATGTCTAATAATAATACAAAGGATACCAAGAACATCGATATTAACAATAATAATGATAATAATAGCAGAAAGAGCAGCAACAACAGTTCTCAAATTTCAAGTAACGATCCTCAAAATAGTGAAAACGATTCATTGTCATCGTCGGTTTTAAAAGAAGTTCACAATCTCGGACATTTTACTCCAAATGATTTCTATGGCTCCGGTGATCGTGCAAGAACATCAGATGATGATGATAATAATAATAATAACAACAGTAACAACATCAACGATACTAATGACGATATAAACTCTTCTAATCAACTACAAAAATCAATAATATGGAATCATAATCAGGAAGAACAAAATCGTCAACAACGTTTACAATATCAAAAATCTCAAAATTCTTTACCCAACAGCAATAATAATAATGATAATGGTTCAACATCGCCGTCTTCAACTACATTATTAACGCCAAAGTCTTCATCTTCTTCATCCATTACAAACGTTAATGTCGATGAGGAAGAAGATCATGATGTTTCGGATTTTTGGCAAGATGTTTATCGGCCTTCCAGTGGAAATCGTATGGATATTCTCGAGCTTAGTAGACAAAGATTATCTGTTGTCGATTCAATTATATCAGTCTCAGGTATATATATATTCCAGTTAATTTGTTTTCCATATAGTATATAATATTATATAATATTTAAAAAATTATATACATTTAGATCGGCCAAAGTCTACATATGATGACGATCAACAGTTTAATCAAATATCTGATGGTGATGATAATGATAATAATAATATATCTAATGAAGATGAAAATGAAAAAAAAAATGAAAAAGAAAATGAAAAAGAAAAAGAAAAACTTGTAGAAACTTATTCAGAGCCAACTTCAAATATTGCCAATAAAAAAATTTATAGGCCTCGTCCTAACGAAGACTATTATTCCGTTAGCAAAGACAACAAACAAGAGTATGATAACAAATTATCTCCAACTTTTCAAGAAAGTTCGCATAAACGTTCAAGATCTCTTGTGAAACCAGAACGTGCTCGTTACTATAACAATCGTCGTATAAGTAGGGTTTTTGAACCAAAAGATGCTGAAAATATAACTATAGGTCGAAGTAAATCAATCAATAGTAATAATAACAATGATAATAGTAATAGAAAATATAGCGGTGGTGCTAATAATCCTGTCAATATTAATGCACATAGAATTGTTTCTGGCTATAGTGGTGGTGATGAGAGTGAAAAACGAGGGCCACGCTCGATTACTGATAGTAGATTAGGTTCTATAAAAAATACCAAAGGTTTGAAAAAATGGCGTAGAGGTGAATGTCCGTCTGTATGGGTAATATTCTCAAGATGTGTAACCTTCTATGCTCCTTCATCTTTACTTTCATTTTTTGGTAGGTTCACATACTAATTAATTATATTTAACTGTTGACCGTTAATAAATGTTCTTATTCATTGTTAATTGTTATATCTTCTTTCAAACGATAATTTAGGCATGCGAGATGAAATGGTTCGACAAGCATGGCGTGAAAAAATGGCACTTGTAAAGATAATAATAGTTTTATGTTCTGCGGTCGGTTTCATAACTTTTGGCCTTGGCCAAATATTTTGTGGCGCGGAACCGCAAAGGTTTGGCGTTGATTCTCTTGAATCAGGCCATGGTATCATTCTAGGAAGATTATTTGATATTTCGGAATTTTCCCATCCTGCTGTTGATGGGCTGTTTACTTCTTATCCCGGAAATCTATTAGGTGTCAATGGCAATGATCTAACATTTTTGTTTCAAGCTATAAATAGCGAGTGTAAAAATGTTTTGATTCCAAAAGTACCTGATGATAATTATGGAAATGTCTTCAATTATTTTCCTTGCGTTGCAATTAATGGTGACTCTACCCCGGATCCTTCCATCGTTGACATGAAGAACTGTCACAATGATGCTTCATCTAGAACCTTATTGAGTAGTCTTAATTATGTCGGTGACGTCTTTTTTGATTGGACTGATGTAGAAGCACCCGAACACAATTATGTGGTTAGTAATGGTCAAGTTCTTGATTTGGACAAATTACAATGGTTGGTGCCAAATATAATAGTTCCGCCTGAACTTCAACAACTGATTGAAACTAAACACAATGCTCGCGGTCGTGACGTTACCTATTCCTTACAACAAAATCAAAAGACAATTAAATTATCAAAATGTCTGCAACAAATCATTCGTGTGGGTGTGGTTGATTTCAGTTCGATAGGCTGTGTGATTACTAAAACGATAACATATGTTGCATTGGTTGTGATTATTGGTGTGGTCCTAGTGAGATTTGCTATGGCAGTTTTGTTTGGATGGATCGTTAGTTGGAAACTTGGTAGTTTTCGTGAAGAGTCTGCTGAAGATATTGCATTGAGAGAAAAAGATATTGAACATTGGATTAATGATAATACTATTGATCCATCTATGTAAATATTATAAATAAGTTGATTATTAATTAATTGATTAATTTTTTTTATAAAATATAATTAAAATTAAATTTTTATTTATTTATTATAACAGTAATAGTTCTAAGCATAGTTCAGTGGGGTCTCTTAATCATATAAAACAATTTAATCAGAAATCGTCATCGAAAACACCATATAACAGTAATAATAAAAGCAAACAAAAATCAAATCTTGGTATTAAAAAAAAAAAAAAAACTTTAATCATTTTTAAATCAGCTATTATTGTTAAAGTAATTTTACAATATTAATAATAATTATTATAATTTTTACAGGAATTGCAAGAGAATCATCACTCCCGTATCCACCATCAGTTGATAGTGATAGTAACCCGGATCAACAACGTAATTCTATATCGTCGATATCATCATCCGCCGGCCAATCATCAGTTCCCAACGTCATCACACAAGAACCAGAGCAACGATATAATTTTCCTTTAATGCACACAATCTTGTTGGTCACATGTTACTCCGAGGGTCCAATTGGTCTAAGGACAACTTTGAACTCATTGGCCAATACCGATTATCCAAATTCACATAAATTGCTTATGGTGATTGCCGATGGGATAATTTTTGGTTCAGGGAATGAGAGATCAACTCCAGACATAGTTTTATCATTAATGTCGGACTTTGTTGTCGATCCGAATGATGTCGTAGCACATTCTTATGTCGCAATTGCAGATGGTAAAAAAAGACATAATATGGCCAAAGTTTATGCTGGTTATTATAAATATCGAGATGGAAAAAATACATCAAAATCTCGACGCATTCCAATGGTGACAATAGTTAAATGTGGTGGTCCTGATGAACTTGACGATAAAAAACCTGGGAATCGTGGAAAACGTGACACGCAAATTATTTTAATGAGTTTCTTACAAAAAGTTATGTTTGATGAAAGAATGACACCGTTAGAATATGAATTTTTTAATGCTATTTGGACTGTTAGCGGTGTTACTCCTGATTTCTTTGAAACTGTTCTTATGGTAAAATTTTTTAGAGAATTATAATGGATTCGTTATGTTGTCGTTGTCTTTTTAAATATTAAATTAGTCTCTTTTAATTTTGTTTAGGTTGATGCAGACACCAAGATATATCCAGATTCACTAACACGTATGATATCCTGTTTTTCACGTGACTCATCGATAATGGGTCTCTGTGGCGAAACAAAAATAGCAAATAAAACCGATACATGGATTACTAGAATTCAAGTCTTCGAATATTACATTTCGCATCATTTGCAAAAAGCTTTTGAATCGATTTTTGGTGGCGTAACATGTTTACCAGGTTGTTTTTGTATGTATAGAATTAAAGCACCAAAAGGAATTGATGGATACTGGGTTCCGATACTTGCCAACCCTGATATAGTGGAACAATACTCGGAGAATGTAGTGAACACGCTTCACAAAAAGAATTTATTGCTACTTGGTGAAGATAGATTTTTGACAACATTGATGCTTAGAACATTTCCGAAACGAAAATTGATATTTGTTCCACAGGCTATATGTAAAACAATTGTCCCCGACTCATTCATTGTGCTCAGGTCTCAACGCCGTCGATGGATCAATTCCACTGTGCATAATCTACTAGAACTAGTGCTTATTCCTGATTTGTGTGGAACGTTTTGTTTTTCAATGCAATTTGTCATTTTCATGGAGTTGATAGGCACTGTGGTACTTCCAGCTGCAATCACATTCACCGTCTATCTAGTGATCATCTCGATGGTTCAGGGCCCAGTCCAAGTTATCCCATTGATATTGTTGGCAGCAGTGTTAGGATTGCCGGCATTACTTATTCTACTTACATCACGTAAAATTGTGTATGTTGGATGGATGGCTATTTATTTGTTATCATTGCCAATATGGAATTTCGTATTGCCACTGTATGCATTTTGGCATTTTGATGACTTCTCATGGGGCCAGACACGTATTGTAGAGGGCGAGGAAAGCGGTATAGATCATTCGAGAAAAGACGGTGTGTTTGACAGTACAAAGATTGTGATGAAGAAATGGTCGGAATGGGAGCGCGAGAAACGGATCAGGGCTCGTAATTTACAGAAAAAGCAAATACAAAAACAATTGCAGTCACAACATTATCATTCGACAATGCCAATTCTAAAGAATAATCACAGTGAAAGTTCTTCTTTTACAATGTATTCACCAGCACAGTCGTTTCAAGTGTTGCCACAAAAGCAATTATCCCTACAATCCTTAGAATCATCGTATTCTTTACCAAATCATTTATCACAACAACATTCTTCTATTTTACAATCACAAACTCGACAAATAGCACCATCACCACCGCCACTACCACAAAAACAAGCACCGTCACCGTCACCACAACAACGAAGAAATTCACCACTTCCACGTACTAATTTTAAAACATTACCAACTAAATCTAATTCTATGGATTTGCCGGACTCAACGTCAAGACCTTCGAAATCTATAAACCATAGGTCTTTTACCGCAGACACCTATTATCAAAGCGAACATCATAATACAAGACATTATCAAAGTTATGGCACTAATCCTAATCCTAATAACACTAACACTAATACTAACAATACTAATAATACTACTAATACTAATAACGGTAGTAGTAAATCATAAAATACATTTTTTTATATAACATTGATCAAAAAACTTTTTTTTTTAATTAATTTAAAAATAGTTTATAATTAATTAATGTACAGTAATAATAATGATAATAATAGAGAGGTAATTTGCATTAATTTTAGAATTTTAAATTTATTCAGAAATTGTTTTTTTAAAAATTATAGATATATTATAATCAATCATCATCATACCTTTTGGGGGTTATGTAGTGTGTTGTAGTGTTAATTTAAAAATTTGTATTTTTATGTATTTTATTATCTCTTTGGCTGGCATCAACATGCACATATAAAAATGTCATTAACTTTTAAGATGTGACTGTTTATTTACATATTTGTTTTACATTAATTATTATTATTATTACGCGTATGAGTTGTTTTTTTTTGTTGACGTGATTGATTTTTTTTGGAAAAACAATTTGTTTTTTACAAGACGAGGAAACGTGAATGTTGTTGCTTGGTATGTTTCTTTTAAAGACAATATGTTGCTGTTTATTACATATTAATAGCGAAAGATACATAGTTTTTTATCTGTATTGATATAATTACCTTTTATAATATATATATATATATTGTTGAAATCGAAACATGGAGCAGGACTTGTTGTGTCTTGGGTATTTATAAGATTTTTTATCAATATAATAAATCAATCATTGGTATTTTTTTGCTTTTCGTATATATAATCATTAGTACTAACATTAATTAAGATGTCAAGATGATCTGATAACTGTTGCAGAAGAAATATTTCGATATATAACATTTGATTATCAGAAAATTTACAGATGTCAAGGCACATATGTTACCTTGAACGCTTTACAGTCATTCTTACATGTTCCTCATGTCCACAAGGTTAATCTTACCTGCTTTCCCCGATGATACAATGATGCAACTGAACTCCAAGGGGGGACCGGATGTCCATGAAGTTTATCAAGATTGCATTGTTGTCAAGGATGTTTTAGAAACCTTACCTGATCTTCTTCTCTCACAGGGCCTGAGCTGGCATTAACTGAATATGCATACTAGCTGAAGAGTTGCCTGCAATGATCCTACTTCTAGGATAAAGGTGGATGATTCTGTGACCAAAAGGTTGCAACCCGGGTTGAAGGATTGTAATGTTAAGAGTTCCATATAAACACCCAGGTCAATTGAAGCAATGAGAACTTACAATTCGTTTCAAATTCAGACAGGGATTTGCAATTCAAGGCGTGTTAGTACTTGTCTTATATAAATTAATTAAATTCTCTGCTTCTTTGGTATTAACCAAATTTGTAATTTTGGGTAAAGGACTAGGCTTTTGTCCAAATAATCCCCTGTCCTATACATTAAAATTGTTATATATATCATCATTGGCCAAATACTAACATTGATCTCTGGAATCAAAGTGGAATTTTTGCACTTAATAATCCTTTCAAAAAGGAAACAATAAGTGGTTAAAAAACGGTTTGTATTTTGATATGTTTGTACAAGTTAATCAATTTACTGAATGGGCGAAGGAACTGGACTTTTTTTTAATTGTTTTTGCCCCAAGTAAGTGCACCCTGGCAAAACCAAGCATTAGCTGCAACCTTCAAAGTTGCAGACACCAACTTATCATAATACAAGTATATTTTATAACTTTTTCCTTGTTGGCCATATTACTGACAAAGATATATATAATCATGTTACAATTTTAATCTATAGGACAGGGGAAAATCCCCCTACCCAAAATTATAAATTGGTTGGTATCAAAGAAACAGAGAATTTAGGAAAATAATTATACAAAAGAAACACTATTTTACGACATTCCTCTTAACATCAGAGCCCAAATGCAATTTCAGGGTCACCAACCCACCCTGAATTGCAACCTCCTGTGCTTGAAACGAGTTGCTGATTCTCTTAATGTTCCTCCAGAGTTGCGACTTCTTGGACATAGATCCATCCTTACCCTAGAGGTAGAATCGTTGCAGGCAACTTTTCAGCTAACATGCAAGCAGCCTTCTCTGGTCTGGGTGCTGTGAGGGAAGATTAATGAAAACGTCCTTGACGATGATGCAATCTCGGTAAACTCCAGAGCCTTGCCCCCCCTGGAATTCTGTTGCATCATTGTATCATCGGGAGCACCGTGGTCAGATTAGCCTTTATACATAAGGAAGATGAGAATGACTGTAAAGTGTTCGAGGTAGCGTGCGTGCTTCAACATCTGTAAATTTCCAATATTCAAAAGTTACATATCGAAATGTTTTCATATTTGAAATGTTCCATTTTCAACAGTCAATGCTGCCTTGACATCTTGTAATTATATATTATAATAATAATAATAATATTGATTACAAAAGCAAAATACCAATTGTTTACCATCTTGATGAGGATCTTATAATCACCCAGCGAGATCTGCTCCGCGTTTTGATTTCAATAATATACATTATATAAAATAAAAGACATCAATTAATTAAAAAAAAGTATATCTGGTTAGTTGTTAACGCGTTACGTTAAAAAATAAATTGTAAAAAAAAAAAAAAATCAACAAAAAAAAACTATAAATAATGTGTGTTGTTGATCGATCAACAAATTTTTTTTAATTTAATTTTAAAAAAAACAATGCCAAACAGAAAACAACAAAAAAAAAGAAATAAAGAGAATACGGACCCAAACGAAAGAAATGAGTAAGTGTTTATCATAAGAATGTTGGTTGTCTCCACTTGCCGTCACTCTAGTTTTATATATAAAATACCAAAAAAAACCTTCTCAATATTGACTACATACATAGCTTTCTTTGTGTATAATAAAATACAATTAATAAAATTTAGTGAAATATAATTTTATATGTTGTATAATCATTTTACAAACAGTCAATATTTTTTTTAAATTAGTAAATGTGCCCCTAACATTTTCTATTAAAATACCCTGTTGATAAATGATCTACGAATTAAAAAATAATTAATCTTACAAATCTTTTTTAAGAAATAGTGAAATTGGTAAAGAATTAAACAAGACAAGGATGGATTATGAGAAGGTGTTGAAGAAGTTGGAGCAGTTCGAGGAGGGGTGGAAAGAGAAGAAGATATGGGGCGCGGAAAATAGAAACAGCCCTAACTACCAAAATTGTGATTGAGTTAATGACATTTTTATATGTAATTCGCTACTGGAATTAATTTTAGCTTAGAAACAATACCCACTTTACTTAGTAAAATTTTGAGATATTTTCTGTTAAAGTTTTT